ATTTTTTATGGTTTATGTTCTTGAACTTGTGTAAATCAGTATTCTTTAAAAACAAATGGGGAGATCATTTGTTGCTGTATGGTTTAGAAAAAAATTGCAATAAAGATCCTTCAAGTAGATCTTCAAGTAGATCTTTATGGATAACTGGAAAGAAAGAAATGGGGAAAGGATAGGTATTTTAAGTAAAGAGAGAAATGATGTGGAGAGCAGATCTAGAGAGCTCAGAGTCCATTTTTCCTAAAATAGACTAAATTTGGACAGTAGGAATGAGTACAACGCTGGATGGCCAATTCCCCCACTGTTTTCACAAGTTCAAGCATTTGGCCTTAATTCCTTGTGAATAAAAATGTTTAGTCCATAGCCTGTAGTAAAATGTGCTTTTGATTTATTGAACTGAATAGAATGAATACTGGAGCTCAGTATTAAACCTCAAAATCTTTGAATATGTGTGTGGGGGTAGTGCATCAGGGCCGGTCCAGAGATATTGATGAAAAACCTGATGGTGTTTCATGAAATTACTTATGTAATAATAAAAGGTAGAGACTATGGGGGAGCAGGCACCAGGCTGTTCAGATCAAGAGCATCCTGAATTGGAAGGTTTCATGGAACGGAGGGGTCAAACATAAATACAAACCTATATTTCAGCAACAAAAATACATTTCTGCGTTAATTTTTTCTCTTGGACATCTGGAAAAATGGTGGTAGCTTTAATTGTGAAAAAGAAGGTAGAAAAAAACTTGCATTACGAGGAAAGCTGGATGAGGGTTGTTTTTTTTTTTCCAACATTTTAATGAATCACTAGGGTCAATACTTCCTTTCACATTTGCCTTTCAAAGCTGTAGACTGTTGTTCATGAATGTGGGATATGCTTTCTCCAAGGCAGCCTCACATAGGTGCTAAAAGGTTGTGGAACTTTATCATTTCCTGATATATAGTGAATCCTTGATATCTCAATGCTTCTGTTGTTTGCTGTAAATGTTTATTGTATCCTAACTGTGTGTCTAGGTTGGGAGGTGATATGGACCAACTTCAGGTAAAGTTGATAAGGCTGAATGTGAATGACTTAAAACAGTCATATTCAAACTAACTTTTTCACTCTGTCTTTCTATATATAATATTATTAATATATTACTCATAATGCCAATAAAACTTTGAATAAATGTTTCCAATGTATTTTAAGACTGAATATTTTTAAAACATGTTTTATTTTGAAATAATATGAGATTTACAAGTCTATCAAGTACAGAGAGTTTCTGTATATCTTTCACTCTAATGTTAACATTTTATATAACCATGGTACATTTATCAAAAAACTGAATATTTGAAAGTTTCCACTGTGGTCAGAAGTTTAAACTTGCCTTATCTTTTACAACTTTATATGCACCTATCCATAGGCACATATCATATACACACATGTCATAGCAAAATGTTGATTTTCCAAATATTGGGCTGTAACATTTTGTGGACTCTAAGAACATAATCTGTAGGTTGCTTTAAATCCCTAAGTGACACTGCAATTGTCCATGTTCTTTTTGAGATGGTTCATATCCAGTAAAATTACTTATTTGTTCTGTTAGTAAATTGCAAATGAAAATTTTAAGTGGTTCACCCGATGGATTCAAATTTAATCTTCTTCTGTTTAGACCTTTAAATTTTATTTCTGTTGCTCATTGTGAAAACAAGATGACAATTTAATTAAATCAAATACATTAAAGAACTGCTAAAAATGTGTCAAATTAGTCAAAACTGTCATTTTTGCCAAACTAAGAAACAAATATTCCTTTATACTCTATTAGGCAAATACGGCAGCAATTTGTTTTAAAATACATGGTTAGAAATGTATCATTTATGCTGTGAAAATAATGAGTGTATTTCAACCATTCTAGTTACCATAACAACAGAGTATAATGCATTTTCTTTTATTTTAGTTTCAATCAAATTCATTTGGATTTGATTGTCACAACCAAAAATGAGAGAGACACTCAATACAGCATTTGTACTTCTACTCAAAGTTAAAGGACTAGGTTTGTGTCTACACTGACTTTTTGATATTGGTTACATAGATCTCTGTGTTGAGAAATATTCAGGGATAACATCCAGGTAGAATGGAAAAAGGCACATTTTCTATAATCTCTTAAGCTTGGTGGGATACGAGATTAAGTTCTAGACAGTTAATGTTAGCGAAAGTGTCATATGACAGCTACTGGAACCTTCCTTTAAAGACAGCTGCTGAAAAGCTTTTTCCTCCCTTTCTTCTCAATATAATACTTCATTCTCCTTCCTGAAATACAGAGATGATGGGGAAAGCTCTTACTGCCATTTTGGACCCTGAGGACATGGGACATATACTGAGGATGGCAGAGTAGTTGATTAGATGTTGCTTTGGTCTTTGAAAACCTTCTGGAACACAGTTGCCATCCCAGTGTCGGACTATCTCTGAATTTCTCCACAAGAGAGAAATGACTTTTATTCATTGTTACTTTTTTATTTCTATGGGATTTTTTTTGTTTTTTGTTTTGTTTTGTTTTGTTTTGTTGCAATTGAAACTAATCCTAACGTGCCACATGTCTAGGAAAAGTGGAAATAGGAAAGACAGCACTATATAATTTTTTCAAGAGAAATGAATCTTCCTTCATTGATGTACATATTTGTCACCTGTGAATACTTGAGTTTGCTACTCCTGCCCACCCCCCTTATTCTTTTGGTGGAATCCAGACTGTGAAGAGGACCCCAGCAGCTGGATCAGTGATGTCAGTCCTACCCTCACTGAACTCCAGACACCACCGAGTTTTGTCTTGGTTTATTTGTATGTTTGTTTTTTAAAACATCCCGACATCCCAAGGTAATAACATTCTGGAGTTCTGCACAACCAGGAATGGAGAGTGATTTACTTAAGGCCTTTTGTTTTTTAAATCCTGGGAAAATAGATAAAGACAATTAAATCTTACTTTTGATGTTATTAAGTCAGTAGAACAAATGCACACTGTTTATGGTCGAGTGGAAATAATTGAACAAGCCATTTATACAAATTCAGTAGAGAAGTGACAACAGTGACTGCATAAACCACAGAGGGGGTCTCTTTTAAGTTACACATGAGGGATATTCTGAAACAGAAAAAAGCACATATTAAACGGGATTAAAACAGTTACATTCAAAATCTATTTTATCAAGCATAAGAAGTTGAAAAGAATGAGGTAGGAAACACAGAAAAAGCTAAATTATTAATACTTTGCTAAGTGATGAGAAAAAGACATATAATTCAATTTTGAGTGACAAAGAAAACAGAGGAAAAGTACGTTTAAAAAAAATGTAAACAAGAGAAATGGGATAATGATAGATCAAGAGAACATTTTAGGCTAAATTTCCAAAATGTTGTTCTAAGAAAATCACTTGGCACGACAGAATGATATATCACTGGCGTTGCTGAAAGTGGGACAAAATAGAACACATAAACAGATGAGCACTTCAAGTTGGCAACTCTACCTCTGGCCCTACTTGGCAGCTCGGGATGAACCAGAATAAGAATAAGGAATCATCAAGATAAAGTTGCTGACTAAACTCTTCTACCAAAGACTTTGTGTTTACAGCATAATTCCACAATAAATAAATCTGTTCTTCCTATACCAGACTGGAATATCTCTCTTCTGTGAGAATGAATCTATTTTTTTTTTCCATCTTTCTTCCTTCTCCTCAGCTCTTTCCCCATATGTGCTACCCTAGACTACAGTTCTTGAGGGAAAGAAAAGAACAGTTTGGCAAATTTTATTGTTTTATTTTATTTTAATTTTTAGTTTTTATTTTACCTTTAGAATAGATGTGACCATCAGGCCTTGGGCTTCCTTGTTCTACTGTACTTCAATTCAGCCTTTTCCCTCACAGGCATCCTAATCTCTACGGATGTTCAAAGGAGATTATCAGAGGGGATTTTTTGTTTTTGTTTTTGTTTTAAGAGAGGGAGGGGGCAGGGAGGGGTAGAGGGAGAGGCAGAGAAAGAATCTTAAGCAGGTTCTGCACACAGCCCGCCCAACTTTTTCTCAATCCCATGACCCTGAGATCATGACCCCAGCCGAAATCAAGAGTCCATTGCTTAACGGACTGAGCCACTCAGGCGCCCCCATATTATCCTAGTTTTAAAGTGGAGTGTTCCAGGGCTATTAGTGTAATCAATTGGACTAAGAGTTTGATTTCATTCGTTTTGATGTTAATGCCTCTAAAATTTGATCAATTGGCTTTTCAGCCACTGTCAGATATTAATTCTGAAGAAACAGTGTTTTGTTCTAGATATTGCAAACATTTTTCTTCAGGAATTAATGCCAGTAAAACTGTATTTCCTGAATTAAAGCTAATTGTGTTTCTGAGGTTAAGCCAAGCATTGCATTCTGAGTTAAAAAAAAAAAATAAAAAGTTTAAGAAAAAAAAATTGTAGTGAATCTAGAATTTGATACTGCCATCTGCTGTTTAGAAACAAAATTGCATGCACTTTGAAGCTAAAATTTGTTAGTATTCAAGAAAAATATAGTGTAAGACTAATTTATCTTATGCTATCAATACATTAAAAAGAGAGGAATATATGGTGTTTTATTCATGCTAAATATTTCTAAATTTGGTTTTAAGAGCTTGTGTCATTTCTTTTATATTTTATAACATGTATTATAGCTTTGAAATTTTATAAATATAATTATTACATAAATATCTACTAAAAGTTAGCAACTATTTAAAAAGATGCTTAGTTCAGGTTATGCTTAAAAATGAAAAGTAAAATAGCAGACATAGGAGACAATAAGAATGTTTTCAGTTTCAAAGATAATGGATCTCAATTTGTACACAAATATTAAAGATCAAAATGGCTTTTTGTTCTGAACAATGAGATAATCAGTGTAGGTATGGTAACATATATATCTGTTAGACATGGAAGAATAAATATTTTAAAATATTCAACTTGTTTAATAATGGGAATTATACTGTTTAAAGACAAATATCTTAGAAATCTTCAAATCCTTGTGCTCACTCCAGCAGCACATATACTAGAATTGGAATGATAAGGAGATTAGCATGGTCCCTGCACAAGGGTGACACGCAAATTCGTGAAGTGTTCCATATTTTTGTGGTATATATATACCACAGCCCTAAAAAAGAATGAAGGGGCCCTTGGGTGGCTCAGTCAGTTAAGCATCTGCCTTCTGCTCAGGTCATGATCCCAGGGTCCTGGGATTGAGTCCCACATTGAGCTCCTTGCTCAGTGAAGAGCCTGCTTCTCCCTCTGCCTGCCGCTCCCCCTGCCGGTGCTCTGTCTCTCTCTGACAAATAAATTAAAAAAAAAAAAAAAAAAAGAATGAAATCTTTCCATTTGCAGTTACATGGATGGAGCTAGAAGAGTATAATGCTAAGCAAAATAAATCAGTCAGAGAAAGACAAATACCATATGATTTCACTTATATGTGGAATTTAAGAAACAAAACAAAAAAGCAAAGGGAAAAAATAAGATATATATAGAGAGAGCAAATCAAGAAACAGACTCTTAACTATAGAGAATAAATGATTACCAGAGGGGAGGGGGGATGGGGGATGGGTCAAATAGGTGATGAGCACCAGGTGATGTATGGAAGTGGTGAATTACTATATTGTACTCCTGAAACTAATATAACACTGTGTTCACTGGAATTAAAATAAAAACTTAAAAAAGAAATCTTCAAATACTTTATGTAATTAATCTTGTAGATGCACACAAAACTAAGAATGCCTTTCCTGATTCACTAAAAGTATTTGCTTGGAGCTTTTTATGTAAATAATTTTTATAAGAAATATATAAATATATTCTCAGCTATTTGAATGATACCAAAAATATTTTTATTTGATTAGCTTTAATTGCTATAGTTTTTGTTTTTACTTTGCCACATGATCTTAAGTATTGATAATAGCAAATCAACTAATTAAATAATTGTTGCTAGTCAAGGAGAAAACAATTCAAATCATACATGATTATTGACTGTGATTATTTGCTACTAAAAATCCTGAGTTTGCCCAATATGTTAAAAAATAAAACAATTCTAGGATAGGATCTATATTTTGGATAAGTAGAAGCAAAATCCCAAAGAAATGTATTAAATTCTCTGTTTCATTTTCCCTTTCATAATTAGCCAATATTCTACCTATGTAAATTATCTATTGCTTAAACTTTGTCATATTCATCTCCCCATTTAGTCAAAAAGATTTGTTCATATAATGAATTTGTTAGCACACTAATAGGTAAAAGAAAATCCAGGAAGTTCTAAGCAATTTAGGTTTGTGATATTACAAAAGGATCACTAGTCTGGGCTATATTTCAAATCACTTTATGTTGTTCACAGAGGTAGTTTAACATTTCCATGCTAGGTCATTTCAACTTAGTTTGAGTCAGGGTCTTTTCCAATGTTATTAAATTTGCAAGTGGAGTTGCAAAACTACTTTTTAGAATTAGATTCTCTTTAATAGTTATTCTAAGAGTACTCTAGAATGGTAAAAAAAAAAAAAATCCCATTTTTTTTTCCAGAATGAAGGAACACACTCATGTCCTTGACACTACTGTTAGCTTACATAAAGAAAGTTTTCATGAAGATTATTTTCTTCTCTTATGTGTAACTCTATATGAGATTCATTAGTAATAACCTAGTCACAGGAATAAATTGATTTTAGAGTATTTTAAGTATAACCTAACAGACCAGTATATGAATCCAAATGTTTAAAAAAGTTCAGTCTTACATCGCTCCAGCAGATATAAACCCCAAAGGAAACTGAATTAGCAAACTTCTGCTTCCAACCAAGATGGAGTAACAGGGATTGACTCTATCCTCTTGCTTGATACAGCTACAAAAACAAACAAACAAGCAACAACAACAACAAAAATCAGAAAATATATATGAAACAGTGGCCTTCCAGGCACTGGATATCAGGCCACAGTGACTGCTGACACAAGAGCAGCCACTGAGGGGGGACTTGTGGTTGCCCCAATTACTGCCTGGAGAAAGTGCCCAGGCCATGATACAGGGGAGAGGATCCTAAATAGAGCTGTGCATTCTCTTTGAGTTTGGTGGATGGAATTGGGATATTGGGAAACCAAAGGTGCCTAGAATTTACAGGCAAAGTACTGGAGGGAAGAGAGCTATACAGAGAGAAAACTGCAGAGTTGTGCAGGGGCCATCCTCAAGTATTTACTTGGGTACTGCTAAGTATAAACATATGAGGAAACAATGTGAGGCCTGGAAAAGGACCATGGAGAAGATGTAGAGGGGACAAACTCCTGAGATCACGTAGGACCAGGAATATTGCCTGTTCCTTATACCCAGAGTAGAAAACCACATATTTCACAAGGTATCGGAATAACAGGAATCATCTTGCTTCAGTAGTCAAGAAAAGCTAGCCCTTAATAAAATGCTTCTCTGGTTCTGCCTGACAAAAATTAAAAGCAGGAATTGAAATGAGTGCACTATTTCCAAGTAATTTAACCATATCCCAGAACAACACTTAATATTTAAAGGAATGCAAATATATCTAACACTCAACAGGAAAAATTCACAATGTCTGGCATACTATTGAAATTTACCAGGCATGCAAAGATAAAGGAAAATACAACTCATAGTGAGAAGAAAAACAAATCAATTAAAAGTGACCCTGAAATGACACAGAAGATAGATTTAACAAGGATATTGAACACTTTTAACTGTGCGCCATATGGTCAATAAGGTAGAAGTAAGATTAAACATGGTAAGTGTAGACAGAGAAGATATAAAAAACACCCAAACAATATCTAAGATGGAAAATATCCTGGATGGTATATCAACAGCAGATAAAACATTGCAAAAAAGGTTAGTCACCTTGAAGACCTAGTAATAGAAATTATCCATGAAGAAACCTAGAGTGAAAAACAGTTAAAAACAAAACAAAACAAAACAAAAACACAAATCATCAGTGAACTGTGGGATAGCTTCAAGTGGCCAAATATATACATGTAACTGGGACCCTCAAAGGTGGAGGAAGAAAAAAATATATACATAGTTGAAGAAATAATGGTCATTGCCCCCAAATTTGGTGAAAACTTTAAACTCACAGATTCAAGAGCCACAAGCACAGGAAACATGGAAAATCACACCAGTACACATTGCTATTAAGTTGCTTAATACTAATAATAAAGAAAAACTCGTAAAAGCAGCCAGAGAAAAAAGATACACTGTGTAGAGGGGAACAAAGAATAAAGATAAGCATGACAGTAATTTTTTTTTTTTTTTTCAGAAACAATGCAAGCTAGAAGACTTTGGAGTAACATCTTTATAGTGCTGAATGAAAAAAATATTAGAAATCTTCACTCAGTCAAAATATATTTCAAAATAATAGTGAATGCATCACTAATTGCAAAATAATAATAATAATTATAATAATAATAGTAAAATAAGGCTTTGTCAGACATGGAAACTGAAAGAAGTCATCAGCAGCAGACCTGGACGATAGAAAATGTTAAAGGAAGTTCTTCAAGCAGAAGGAAAATGATACCAGATGAAAATGCATTCCTATGCAAAAGAGTATAAGATCACACATTTATTAAATATATTCAATCACACTTTAAAAATAGGATAAAGATTCTGGTTTCAGATTTTTTTACCCCTCCTTTTTTTTTATAGTGATTCAATAATTCTATATATTATCTGGTGCTCATCATAAGTGCACTCCTTATCCCCATCACTTGTTTCACCCATTCCCACTCCCCCGCTCTGGTAACCATCAGGTTGTTCTCTATAGTTAAGAGTCTATTTTTTTATTTGTCTCTCTATCTCTTTCTTCCCCTTTGCTTATTTGTTTAGTTTCTTAAATTCTGCATATGAGTGAAATCATATGGTATTTGTCTTTCTCTTACTGACTTATTTCATTTAGCATTATACTCTCTAGCTCCATCCATGTCATTGCAAATGGCAAGATTTCATTCTTTTGTATGGATGAATAATATTCCATTGTGTATATATATTCCACTTTTTCCTTATTCATTCATCAGTTGATGGAAAACTTGGGCTGCTTCCTTGTCTAGCCTATTGTAAATAATGCTGCTATAAATATAGGGGTGTATGCATCCCTTTGAATTAATGTTTTTGTATTCTTTGGGTAAATACCCAATAGTGATTGCTGGATTGTGGGGAATTTCTATTTTTAACTTTTTGAGGAAACTCCATACTGTTTTCCACAGTGGCTGCACTAATTTGCATGCCCACCAAGAGTGTACAAGAATATACCTTTTTCTCCACATGCTTGCCAATATCTGTTGTTATTTGCATTGTCGATTTTAGCTATTTTGACAGGTGTGAGGGGTTATCTCATTGTAGTTTTGATTTGCATTTCCCTGATGATAAGTGACTTTGAGCATCTATTCATGTGTCTGTTGGCCCTCTGGATGTCTTCTTTGGTGAAATATCCGTTCATGCCTTCTGCCCATTTTTTAATTGAATTATTTGGGTTTTTTGGTGTTGAGTTTGATAAGTTCTCTATTTTGGATACTAACTCTTAATTGGATATGTCATTTGCAAATATCTTCTCCCATTCTGTAGGTTGCCTTTTAGCTTTGTTGATTTGGTTTCAGATTTTAGATATATCTTTTAAGCTATCAATTTCATAGCCATAGAATTTTGTTACAGAAATTTATATATTAATATTTATAGATATATTTATATTGTTTTATTTCATAAGTAATATATTATTATATGTAACATATATAATGTATACTCATATATTTATGGATATATTTTATATTTATAGGTTATATTTATAGATAAAATAAAATTGATTCAAGTGCCAATATTTTACATACCTGGGGGCCCACTTCCATTTCGTCCTCTCTGTCTCCCACAGGCCTACATGTTAAAGTGCTCCATCCTGTCTGGTATATTCTCCAAAATGTCTTCATCATTCATCCTTTTCACATGAAAATATTTGTCATTTCTTGATTGCCACAGAGATCTTATCTAAAAAGTTCATCATAAAGTATGAAAAAATAAAAGATTTAACTTTCCAAAGAGGTTATTTTAAAACATAACTTTTGACCCAAGTGGAATCTTATGGTGTGGAACATTTCTGAGATATATGCCA